CTCATCGTCTGTTACCCTAAGCGCCACGATGCAGGCAACGCACAGGAGCTGCAGTTCGACGCACACATGATTTTCACCAATTCATAATTTCACAGATGGTGCGAAGAGAATTATATCAGTCAACATCACGGGTCATTTCAAACGAGTATCGTTTCAACAAAATATTTTTGATAAATTTTCTGAGATATCATATGGAAACATATATTTTGCGCTAATTACCGCTTTTCTATTATTATTATTATTATTATTATTATTACTGGTTTATTATAAAGATTAATTGTTTCAGCAATTAATTATTATTGCTATCATATATAGTGTATAAATGCTAACATTAAATTTAAAAAAACAGAGACTGAGTTAATTTTTTTAACTGTAGCATTAATCTAAAATCTTTACATCTTTACATCTTTTTGATGTAAGGGGGTTTAGATTAATGTTTGCTACAGTTTTGCTACAGATCTGATATATTTCATTCGTTTCAACCATTCCAACTTTCAATTTTTCAACAACTGATAAAGTAAAAATTTTTTAAATTTCAAAACCAAATGTATCAATCATAAAAGAAATCACGCCGAAGAGCAAATTGAAAATGTATCTACGTACCACTTCGATTATTCTAATGAACACCTTGCGATTCCACATGATGCGACTAAAGAAGATGATGTCAAGCGAACAACTAAGGGAACGGTGAACAAATGGTCGTTTGCGAAAGTGTCGTCTCTTTTCGGCGAAGCATTACGTGATTTCTCAGGCTATTAACAAACCGTTCTCATTTTCTTTTGAAACGCCATCTTTTTTCTTGTTAGCTTTTCTTATTAATTTTCATTGCGTATACGAAGATGTATTATAGTTACAAGGACCAAAAAATTAATATTCTGATGGAAACAGAATAAAAATTTTTATGGCAAGCGTTCTTCATATTACAACAAGAACCATAAATCAATTTTTAAGTTTTACTAAAAAAAAATCTGTAATTTAGAAAAAAAAATTGGTTTTTATAAAACATTTTTATTATGGATCTTATTATGAATTTATGAATTTAATAAAATTTATAATTTACATATTTTTAGCAAATTTATATGTTAATTTTCCCGTTAATTTGTTATATTTCCCACTAATTTGTCAATAGTTACAATTAACAGAAAAAAATAACTTTTAACAAAGACAAATAGTTTACTTAAATCATTTTTTCATTTGCGAAATTATTTCCAATTATAATTCTAATATTTTAAGAAGAAACACACATAAAATATTATTTCACACATAAAGTAAGAATAAAATAAAACAGAAATAAAAAACGAATGAAAAAAAATTCACGTTTTTATTTAAAACATAGTTATTTGCCGCAACACTCATTTTAATTTTTTTCTAAATTTTTTTCTGTGTAGAAATTAATAATTAATGCTACACTTAAAAAAATACGAAAATACGCAGCACGATTTCTTTTTCACTCTTTCTTGAACCTATCTGTGACCGGCGGGTACAAAAATATTATTTTCAAAAATAAATCGTCCACGTTGCTTTGAAATGAAGTTGAGCGATATCGCTAAATGTTCTAGTTAACCACTCGATAGTGGAAACCAGTATGTTATCACCTGTAGTCACGATGCGACACGAGGAATCGCGAAACGGAGCTTCGCGTCGCGACGCGCTCGAGCTGATGAACGCGCTCGACTGAGAAGATATCGCGAAGGCGCAGTCGTCCAGGTTGGCGGCATCGTGTGTGTCATGTAATAAGGACTGACTGCATGCGAAACGACACAAGTAACAATGCTGTTATCACACGGTGCAATGGCGCAGGACGATGAGAACCCTGCGAATATGTGTCACGGAGAAGCTCGTCGCGCGCCTCGTACTACCACCTTGAACCCGTTTGCGACATGCTAAATGTCTCGCTGCTGTCTCTTCGACACTCCACTCGTTATTATTTTACGTCTCTCGAGAAAAGAAGACGCGATTTGAATCTCTCATAGTTCTCTAGTTCTCTAATGATGAGCTTTGTGAAACTGAAAAAGTGACAAATATGCGCGTTCAACTTCAATTTCATTTACGTAAGTATGAAAGCGTTAGATAAATAGATAGCGTATAAATTATATATATAAAATGCTAAATTTATATTTCGCAATTATATATAAAAACTAAGTATTATATCTCGTAAATTGTATCTTCAAATTAAGAGCGAGCAATAAAATTATGAGATAAAATTTACATCGATAGATATAATAATGATACATGCAAAAGAACATAACATACTTATAAATTAAATGTATAATAAAATTATATATAAAAGAATTTAAAATGTATATATTGTATAATTATATTTATTACATAATTAATAGGAATTAATTGATTGCTGAAAATTTTTCCTTTTACATACATGTATATCTTTAGAAATGGAATGATATATAAATAATTAATATAATAATGTGTAAAGAAAAAGTTTTCCAATTTAATAATTATTTATAGTTGATAAATAAAGAAAAATACATAAAATATTATTTCACACACAAAGTAAGAATAAAATAAAACAGAAATAAAACGAATAAAAAAAATTCACGTTTTATTTAAAACATAGTCATTTGCCGCGACAATCATTTAATTTTCTTAAATGTGTACGAATTAATAATTAATGCTACACTTAAAAAATACGAACACGCAAACACGATTCTTTTTCACTTTCTTGAGCTTATCTGTGACTGGCGAGTACAAAAATATTATTTTCAAAAATAAATCGTCCACGTTGCTTTAAATGCTTTAGCGAAATATCGCTAAATGTTGGAATATTTCTATCTTTCGTACTTTGTTAGTATAATTTATGTATATTCTTTACGAGGATTAAAATAGAGGATTAAATTATTTCTAAACACAGGATGTATATAGTTCCTCTTCAAAGAAAACAAATATACATTTATGTGAAATAGCTTTGTATAAGCTGTATAATTATGTAACATCGTTATGAGTTTTCTGAACTTCATATCCTTCCACAATTTTCGGATCTGTTTCGAAAAAATGTATATAGTTTACGTAAGGATATAGCACACGTCAGTACAAAGCGTGGTACACAATAGCATCGATTGTTTGATGTGCGTGCGTAGTTCGCTAAATCCCGCCGACACGGCGACAAGATGACAGATGAAAGTCGATCCGACGGCCGTCGCTCCGTCCGGAATTGAGGAAAGAGGAATGCCGCGTGCGGAGTAAGAGAGACGAAGGTAAATCTCTATCCCTTATCCCTTCCACATTAACTTGTCCGCCAATCCTGATACATCCTGAATTTATTTTGTCCTCCCTCGATGAGCGCGTAATCCGGCTGTCGGCTCGTTTCTCTCGCCAGTAGATGAGTTTCTCGCGTCGCGGCGATAATCGGCGGTGGAACGATCCGCTTTTATTATTACAAAGACCCGCATCAACACGTCGAACATATGCATATATACGTTTATACGTAATGTATTACGCGTATATATGCGTATATCATATATATTCGTATATACATATATTATATATATATATATACATATTATATATAACATATATATATATATATATCGTTCTGTATGTGATCGTTCGAGATTGTTCTGAATCAGCTGATATCGATTTATTGATTGGGATTGTGTGAAGATGGAGGGAAATAAAACGAGAGACAATCGCAAAGGGAACAGCCGGAGGAGAGGCGGCCGGAAGGAGGAGAAGCGTGAATTTCGGAAAATGAAAAATACGAGGAGCGAGGAAGTCGCACAGTGGCCGCAATTTCCCATGACCGACGTCGAAAATATCGCGGGCATTATGCAACAGGAGACGTCCCTGAATTTGGAAAATTTTGAGAATGGTGAGTCGATAATGCTTTGTCTTTTTTTTTTTTTTCATCTGCGTGAATTTAGAGAGTTGCGTATGAATTTTGTTCGCGCGGAGTATGTATAAACGCACGGCGTTCAGTAAAGGGAGTATTCTCGAACAAATGTGTGTTTCGCATAGATTAAAAAGATCAAAAATCCTAAAATCAAGATTTATTGCAATTGTAAATGACAATGTCGAAACAGAGGTCGAAAGCGATAGAAAATCAGCGGAAGAAAACGAAACGATAAAAAATTTGGTTCGGCTGATTCTAAACAATTCTAATGTACCATTTCCGCGATCAACATTTTTTTTCTCTTTGAATTGTTTCTCAATATAGACTCGGTCGGAATTAAAACGTTTTTTTCTTCCGAGATAGTATCTCGTGAGCGAGTATAGTAGTGTGTGTTACCTCGAATGTCTTTCTCCATGGATACGGTGACGCTGTGTTTATCATTATTGTACCGCGCAACACAAGAAAGTCGCCGCTATTCCGCATATCATATGTATGTATGTATATATATATGTGTGTGTGTGTGTGTGTGGAGGGGTGGGTGGGGGGGAGTGTGTACAAATCATTTCGATCATACACATAGTTCATATTACCTGGTCAAGATCATGGAATTATTAGAGAAAAAAATTTGTTATTGTAAATTCACATTTATTTCTTTTAAATGATGATGATTACTTTGTATTAATTATAAATTTCTAAAAGATGCTGCAAATAAATTCTCAATAAATTTCTAAGTTCATTGCAAAATTGAAATTTAAAGCGTCAAACGCATTATTATTGAAAAGATTTCTTTCCGGTGTTCTTTCAACAACACACAATGACATCATATCATCAATTAGTACAATTAGATCTTTGAAGAATTATAACGATTAGAATTATAATTCTTCAAAAGTCTCAACATTTCTTTAACATAAAGATCGATATTTCTTTTCGAATAAAGTTTACCTCTAATTGTCAATATTTTTAACAATGAACAGGAGGCGAAAATAACTCAAAGTCCTCGCTCATGTGCCCCGCGTTACGTCGACAATTGGAAACCCATAGGAATGTCCTTCGGCTTCTGCACGAGTATAAACTGGCGTCCACGCAAATCAACGGTCAGAGGATCCTCAGCATTCAGCCGTTCCGTTGGAGTGGACCAACTCCTGGTATAGAGTGCGAGATCTTTGTCGGTCGGATCCCGAAGACGATCTACGAGGATACTCTGTACCCGTTGTTCAAAATGGTCGGCGAGGTCTTCCAAATCCGACTGATGGTGGACATGGCTGAACTGACGAGGGGCTATTGTTTTATCATGTATACAAATCCGGAGGATGCCGCACGCGCTATTACTGAGCTGGACCAGTATGAAATTTCGCCGGGTAGAAAGATACGTGTTCTGGCGAGTGTGAACAAGTGCAAGCTCTACATTGGTCCTCTGCCATGGCATATCGCGTCAGAAGAAGTCGTCAGGGTAGGTCTTTGTTTCTTTGTCTTCTTTTACGTTTTTTTTCACCAGTTTTAAGCAAATAAATTTATAATTTATGCTAAATTTCAGAATAATTTATTATAACTTTATATCTAACTTTATACTTTAATGTTGCATATATATATATATTTTTTTTTTTTAATATGTATTATATATAATTGGTTACAATATATAATTTGACTTTTGAAATATTTTGCAATGCATAAAATTATATTATTACTATAGAATTAATTTATAGATTATCTATTAAATTATAGAATTTTATTTTAAATATTATCTAAGTAGGTTTGTAAGTAAAAATTTATAAGTTAAATTTCTTGTGGAACTTGAATTTTTTATAGCTTCATCGAAGAAATAAAGATTCCTTTGAAAAATAAATTTTGCTGAAATTTTTATTTCTTTCTCATTTTCTTTATATCATTTTTTTTTTAAGTGTATTATTGTTAAATGTATTCTTGCGTAATGACAACAATTTATAAATAAATATACATGTTCCGTATTTATTCCATCAATTTTCAGTTTTGTAATTGTTTTTTCATTGCAATCAGGTGATTTATGCATCAGCATGGGATATTGAATACGTATCCATTTATCGATTTCCAAATTACAATGCGGCTTACGCTATAGTTTCTTTCAAATCACATCGCAATGCAGCTTTGGCTAGACGAAAATTGAGACCTGAGAGACTTTTCAAGTGCAACGATGTCCATGTCGAATGGGCGCGTGTCGATTGGAATCCATCGAACGTGGTAAGCGAGAAATTGTACTTTTTTATACATTTTTCCATGAATACAAAAATTTTATCATATTTTAATAATTAAAATTGAAACACTGAATTTTATTTTAATTACACAAATTTATCTTTTTAATAAATTTAAAAAAAAATTAACGTTTTTTTAAACTTTTTTTTTTAATTTTTTTTGTATTGCTGTTTCAATTTAAGTGAAAGATAAAACGAAGGGAAGGAATAGTAAATTATAAGATTTTTTCTGAAAATTTTGTGATTCTTTTTCAACTGAATGTCATATTGAAATGTGCACATTATTATTATTTGCTCATTTAAAATATTTGATTGAAAATAAGGAATTCCTGTATAAAAAAAATGTAATATTAAAAATATCAAGCGATTATTTTTAATCATTTCTCTTTTTAAATTAATAATTTTTTCTTAAAGATAATTTTAGAATTTTTTAACTCTTTATTAATTAATCTTTTTATTTTAATGAAAAATGTTAAAATTAGAAAATTTGTACGTTCTATTTTTGCAAAAATATTTAAAAAAAATAGAAACGACCAAAAACGATCGTTTGATATTTCCAGCATTAATGGGAAAGGGTTCAAAATAAAAATCCTGTGAAATTCTATTGCTGCAATTTAATCTGTTGGAGGCCAGATTGGTCGAATTACTTTTTACACATTATTTATTTCGTTTTTGAGACTTTTGGATTTATGACATAATGTAGTATGTAAAAACATGTCTTTGTAGATTTTGAATTAATGCCCATATATTTGAGATAGATTTGTAACTATGTTCAATTTATAAATATAATTTCATAAAATAAAAATTTCTTTACATTTATCTAGAAAAATTGTAGCCAAAAACTGTTTTGGAATTAGCATTGCAATATCACACAACTTTGTTGTTGATTTGTTATTGTGTTTATTAATCGCTCATTCATCGCGAACGTGTGTTTATCATTGCATTTAGACTGATAACTTATAAACTTTATAAGTTATAATTAATAACCAATAAAGTTTCATTATTGCACGATGAAATTTTTCGAACATGTAGATTAGTTACAAAAGACAAGAAATTTCTAAAGCCTTGACAATTTTACTATTTATTTAACATGTTCCACAAATGTGTACTCGTACGATAAAATTTGTATGATAAATATTAATTTTAGATTGGGCTGCATCAACAATTTTGGCTTTAAGTGAAATTTTAAATTTCTTGCATCAAAACAAAAACGAAATCTATAACACTTACTTTGATATAATTCAAAATTTTAAGGATACACTTATGGATGATTATTATTTAAAATAAAAAAAATTATAAAACAATAGATTATTCTAGATCACATTTAAAAGTAATATAAAAAATTTTGCGGCGGTTTAGAATTTGAACAAATTATTTAAATATAAAATAGAAATATGTTTTAATAGAAATGTAATTAAAAAAATAATGACAAAAATCTCAATTTTTTTTTATATAAATATTTTAAGTATTCAAAATGATTTATGTAAGGTTCCTGTGTGTAAACAATAGTCCTATAAATAAGAATTAAATTTTTATTACAAATGAAGCATGATGGATATAAATAAAATTAAATTAATTTTTATTTACAGAATAATTAATCTCTGCACTGCAGATTTCACTGCAATTTCAAACCATTCTTTTTGTACAAATTTTAAATACAATTTAGAACAAACTGTAAGTTTTTCATATTGTTTTTTTTTTTATTGTAAATATAAAAATTATAAAAAAAAGTTGTAATAAAATCGTTAAATCTCTCTTAAAGCCAAAATAACATTGGTACAACCGATTTCTTTTTCACTCTCTACTAGTCACATTGCATTTATTTTATTCGTCGCTTTCCATCGACGGAGTTGAAGAGTAGTTCGTTTCAAATAGTTTCACCAGTTTCCCAAGGCGAGGCGCTTTGGACATAATCGATCACCCGGTCTCGGTCTCGGTCAGAGCATAGGCGGTATCAGCTGATTGCAGTTTTATTCACGCGATCGTGTCGGACGGTCTCTTTTGCTTTGCCGGGCCTTATTCAATCTTATTCGATCATGAGCGTTTCGAAAGTGCCGAGCAACGATTTCTGCGACTATCGCAGCCCTTTATCGACCCGATATGCCTCGAAGGAGATGCGCTACAATTTCAGCGACCAGAACAAATTTAGTACGTGGCGCAAACTTTGGATTTATCTGGCTAAGGCTGAAATGGTACGTGTTTCGATTCGAACGATAACAATCTGTCGGCATGTATGTCTCCTCGATACGATTCGAACATAATAATAATAATAATAAAATAATCGGATAAATTTGCAGATCTATTACTTGATAAAAATCTAAAAAATCTGAAATTTTCTGGAAATTTTGTGGAATTTTTTGTTTATGCCTTCAGAAGAATCAAGAAAATTTTTTAAAGTTGCTTTTTCCCTTTATATTTTGTCTTTATATTATAATTGAGAGTTTACTGTTATCAATTTAATAAATTGATAACAGTGAACCTATTTATTCTAAATATCAGAGCATACTGATTTTACAATCAATCCAATATTCAATTTTAGTATCGAAGACAGCGATTTCATGTTTGATGCAATTTTGTTTAATGAAGACACTTGTTTTAATAGTTTCATCAAAATATTGAATTTTATAATTCCGGTTGTGCATTATATAATTTTTGATTTTTAGTTTTTAAAAAAAGTTTGAAAATTTGAAGCGATATTAAAATATTTGTTTTTTAAAAATCTTTACAATTTCTTTCAAAATTTTTTTAATTGAATTATTGAAAATCGAGTAATATTTTATTTTATGATTTATAAACTTTTATGAATGAAAAATATTAAAAACAAATATATATATATATATATATATTTGTAAGATATATTTAAAAATATTTTCATTTTATCTGAAATTTTTAACAAATTATCTTGAAAATCAGAGAATTTTTTTTCGGATTTGACTAGACATCCTGTAGTTAGATCCTACATTTGTGAACAATCTCTTTTTCTTAAATAATAAAGTTCGTATTATGTATTGTTAATTAAAATTGGACATGTTTTCTGGTTCGAGAAGTTCATTCATGTTACGTTTAAAAATGCTATAATTCTGTAAGTAAGACATTCACGTGAATGAATTTCTGAGCGGAAAAATTTTCATCACATATGACAAACAAGGCAATGAGCTTTGCGGGAGGATTGCGAAATTATTTTTAACGCGTTTATATTACCACACATCTTATCAATTTATACGCAACATAAGTTCGAAAACATGGTTATCTTGGTCCACAAAGGTTATTCAAAATACCATCTTCAGCTTAAATAAAATTACATAATTAGTACATTGATTAGTTATCAGTGTATTAGATAATTAATTAAAATACAGATTTTAGTACTGATAATGATCAACTCTTTTACGGATAGTTTCATGAAATCATGGATATATGTTATACATCAAAATATTGAAAATTATGAAAATTACGTCTGTGTGTGTGTGTGTGTGTACACACACACACACACACACACACACTCATATACACACACACATACATATACATACATACATATACACATAC